GTGAGTCAGTGAGTGAGTCAGTGAGTGAGTCAGTGAGTGAGTCAGTGCGTGAGTGAGTGAATGAGGGAGTGAGTGAAGAGAGAGAGAGAGAGAGAGTGAGTGAGAGAGTGAGTGAGTGTGAGTGAGTGAGAGTGAGAGTGAGGTTGAGGCAGCACATCCGCGTGTACAGACGAGGCATCTCACGCGCGTGTACAGACGAGTCACCTTGCGCGTGTACAGACGAGGCGCTGACCCGCCGATGCGCCACAACCCGGATAGGTCACTAAATAATTAACATCGGATGTCCTACACATGTCTCGCAGTGTTGCACCTGCACATACGCACGCACGCAGGAGCCGGGTGACCCACGAACCCTCGGCTTCACGTCCAAGGAACTTGGCAAAACGATTGTTGGCATCGTTGTGCAGCGCGAAGGTGCCGCCCACCAAGGCAGACTGCGAAAAAAGCAACCAACAAAAAATGTGGAACACGTGGGTTTTGGGGCACCAACAGGGGGCGGTGAAATCACAGTGCATCAGCCCAGCCACTTCGCATGAATCTGCGGTTTTCTCGACGTGGCAAACAACCGTAGCCAGCACCACGTAACCGGGTGGTCAAAAGCATTGACATTAGATCTTTTCAACTTCTTCCTTCCCTCTGAGCAAACAACATCTTGCCCGTCACCGAGCACCGTACCAGGCTTCAGGTCCCGAAGCACCGGGACCGGCTCCGGTCCCGCCCCGCTCCGTAACCGCTTCGGCCGAGCCTTGCAGCTACCGGTGTAGTAGGGCTGACCTGGGAAGGTCCACACGGTGGAGAGGAGAGGGGAAGGCCAGCGATTCAGAAAATGCCATCATTCTTTTTGACAAAGGATGGAGAAAGGTGTGGTGACATCTTGGGACCATTTGGGATCTTCAGGGAACACATGGACACCATTGCTGCAAATTGGGATGCCATGTTGCTCGCTGACCGGCTCACCCATTTACGGACAGTTCTCACCTTCATGACCGACAACCGTGGTGTATGCGGTCGACGGATCGACTGCTGATCGACTGCGCTTCGGTAGATGAGGAGTTGAAGGTCAACCTTGAACTAATGGCCTACACTTCCTGAACTAATCATGGTTACGTGGATGGCATGGTCCCTTGGTCCCTTGGATCACAATTTTCCTCTACAAACAAGTGAGTTTGCACTTCCATGATTATGTCGGGGAGTGTAGGTGTAGATGCAGGGTTCACTTGGAGAACTTGGCTGTGAGGCACCATGAAGGCAGCTCAGTTTGCCTCCATCAACCACCCCAGTCTCAGATCAAGGCGGATCGACCAGGAATACCATCCAATACAGCAGCCCACGAGTGAACAATCGAACTCGCCAGAAAAGAATTGCACAATAACACGTGCGTCAGAATATTGGTTTAGCCTCTGGTAACTTGGGACTTCGTGGATGGGCCAGTAAAATATTCCCCAACCTAAGCCCAACCCATCATCTCCCTTTCTAGGCATCCACCACCATCTACTCAAGACCGACCATGCCAAGCTGCTGCTAGTGGCTTGCAAGGAGCCGAAGTATCCTTTCCAACAGGCGCAGCCGCTTGGCACCTTGAAAATCGAGAGAACACATAACACAGGTGGATGGCTGCCCAAAATGGTGGGTCTGCTGTTTTGGCCCAAATCATTATGTTCTCCTTTGGGATCTCTTTGGGGTATTCCGGCCAAATGCGGGATGTCAGTATGTGACTGAGCACGGGAAGGCCAATAGTTTCTTTGCCTGTTGTGTCATTTGCATGTCTGTTTTGCGTTTTCAGGGACCAAAACCTCAAGCATCAACCTCTGCCGCCCTGCAGAACCCCGAAAACGTCCCATCCATCCAGGCACATTCTTGCCATCCGTCCAAGATGGGCAAGCCACGGCACTGCAGGAACCTGGCCAGCCAAACATTCCAAGGTGAGTTGACCAAGGCCTTTTTGTAGTTCACCAAGGTGAAACTTAACAGGGAAACCCCCAACCAGTCAGTTTGGTTCCCTTCTTCCAGGCCGTCGAAATCACAGGCCTCCCTCCCTATGTTGATTTCAATAGACACCCAAATATGATTCGTATGATCCTTATATCGTGACATCTGTTCGGCAAAACAAAAAAAGCAGGCGCCATCGATATATGATATATGTATATGTTGCATGAGTCTCACGTTGTGAATGAGAGTAGATCAAAGATGGGACGGACGGCAAAGCAATGACTTTGGTCCCAGCCGTGCCTTTGAAAAAAGGACTGTCGCCTGTGGGTTCGATGGTGCCACTGAAGCCTGCCGTCGGGTGCGGTGAAAGTCGGGCCACATGGCCGGTTAGGAATCATTTTTCCTCGCTGTCGTATATATTTTTGGCTATTATACAAGCAGGCGCCCTGAGGCGCATCACGTGCCTGAAAGGCATATCACTGCATGGCCACAGTGCTTAGAGAAAGGCACATCATGTTTACGAAAGGCACATCACACACCTAGAACCCCATGGCCGCAGCTGTCTCAGGCAATCTAAAAGCTTATCATGATTCATGTGAAAACATGCTTGTGGCCATCAAATCTTAATAGTTGACCCTAAGCAATATCAATATACCCCACCACACTGTTGTTGCCTTTCGAATAAATAGCCCAAATATGTAAATATATATATATATCATATGTAGCACACATATGACGCATATGATACGTATGTTCACTCGTGCTTGTCTATGGGCGGAAAAATGCATGGGGATCCCTGCCAAAACATTCTTTGGGCCCACATGGCTCACAATATGAGTTTTCACCTTCGCACCGCCACACGGTCGGTTCTGAGTCCAGGCTCGCACCCATGCGTTTCGTCATTTCGACTGTCCAAGTCAAACTCACCCGTCTCAGCTTGATGAGTTTCAGGCCGAGCCAATGTCTGTGGATTCTTCTCTTCTTCTCGCTTCTTCTTTGCTGGTGTGACACAAGCGTCTGCAAGTGGCTCTGGCTCCTTGCGTTTGCGCCTGTGGGCCAAAAGGTCACCAGAGAACTTTGTGAGAGACGCCCCGATAGAGTGGTAAATCTTGTCGATCACCTCCTGTGTGTCCTCAGCTGCCTGCTGTTTGCGAGAGTACCCGCCAGCCTTATCTGCAGAGATCACTGCTTTCACAGGGCGTGGGAACCCCGCAGTGCCCGCACCTAGGCGGCAAGCGCGTCGGAGTCTGCTTCTGGCATTGCTGACAAGGCGCTTGCTCCAAACCTCGCTTGTAGCCCTGAGGTCTTGGCAGCAACAGCTCTGGCTCCGGCAAGGCCACTGCCAGTTCTGTGGCTGAAAGAGTTTTACGAAAATGCTTTGTCAACCAAGACCACATTCCTGTTGCAGAATAGGCCATCTCTTCTCCAGCCGGAAATGACGTTGACTGCATTGTAGACAGCGTCCTAGACTTCGTGGGGCGCCGAGAGGCTCTAGTTGTGACACTGGAGCCGCTCAGCTATGTGGTTTGGAGCTTGGCCCAAACACATGATTGCTTGCGTCTGGTATGGCCCAGCAAAAACAAGCGAACTCAAGTCTTTGCGTCGACAAGTGGATGAGGGACCCTTCTCCACTGTTGGCCACCAAGCCACCAAGCCTTGCAATATGTTCGGAGGCCCGACTTCTCCACTCAGGGAGTAGCGTCACATGACGCCATGAACTGGCTTGCACGTCACATGTGACCTTGGCCAGGGATTTTGGCGCAGCCACACGGTGAGATTTGATGTTCCATCACTTTTGTCCAACCTTCTCATCGCAGGCCCACAGAGCCAATCCAGCCGCCTTGGTCATGACACCATCCTTTAAGAGCCCAACTTCTTCGAGAAGATGCTCCTGACATCGGTTTCCACCGCAAAGCCTGCAAGTACCACTGCATTCTGTGGAGTCTGTTGGGTTTCTGTTGAAGTGATTCTTGACAGGCTTCTTCTCCCACAGGAACTGCTCACCGGCCAGAAGAGTATCAAGGTTGGATTGATCCAACAATCTCTTCCTAAAATCTTTGCATGCACCAGAAGGCATCAAAACTAATTAAAAGTTCAATACCACAGTGCAATAGCAACTGCCCCATCAAAATGTCACTGAAGCAATTCCAAGTTACAACTTGTTTCTCACCAGCTGCCTTTCATCCATTCTTGACCCAAAATGGGCTGATGAGCATTAAAGAACATAAAGGCCCCACGCACACAAAAGTTTCAACACATGCATAGAAAACTTCCAATCAGCCATTCGCCATGGCCCCAGAGGATCAACCAAAGATATGAGATCATGTAAAGTTTACTGCTGGAATGCTACTCCGCATGGCCACAGCCCAAAGATATGCCCTTTTTGAGGTTGATACGCCTTAGGGCATGGACCTAGTACATTTTTCGTAAGAAAGTGCGCCATTTTCACGTTCATTACTGTTCAAAGCACTCCAAGCCTCCTCTTTGGAAAAGTCGCCCTGCAAAATGACACACATGCCTGCCTGCATTGCAGCTGCATCCACTTCCCACGCTGCTACCCGTGGAGTCCGCTGGGCACGGCACCGCCTGAACACCCGTGGCTCCCTCTTGGCTCGACTGAACAGGTGGGCATCGGCACACGGCGCCCTGTGCATGCAACGCCCCCAAAAGAGAAAAAACACAAAGCTGTGTGAAGTCGATCAGAGGCCCAAAAAAAAATCAAAAAGGGGTGTGTCACGCAGCCATCAAAGTACTACGGTTGGTACAGAACTTCGGCCCTCCTCACTTCCAATTACCAAAAGCCCTGAAGGGGCACCTAATCCTAATCAAAGCATGTGGCTGCGGCAAAAGGACCGAAAATAGACCTCCGGTGCGGGGCCAGTGCCCCTTTCTCAGCGAACACATCCCTTTCCTTCTTCCACGATGCCTCACAGCTGGTGCCCACCAGCTTCCATCCATCGTTGCAGCTGGCGCAGTGGTCGTCCACCTTTGCGCCGACGTCGGCGCGAGACACATCGCTTGGACCGTTGGACGAAACTGGCAGGACGGATGGAGGTCACAGTTTCCCAAGAAACTGTACTTACTACACGGTCACACGGTTGCCGTTTTGGGGGTGAGTAGCCGCAGCCCTTGAGAGCCGGCTGTGTGCCTGCTACCGGTGCCTGCTACCTGTTCTTGCTGAAAGCCAGCAAGCCAACGCCTCCATTGGGCACTGATCCTTTTGATCCCCTTTCACGGGACGGTTAGCACAATACACCTGCGAGTCAAAAGGCCAAAAGGCAGTGCCCTGGACGATCAAAGGCCATTCTACTTCCACGTCAGCGAGCCGTCAGTGTGTCTGAGTGCGCCAAAAGAATGCTCCTGCTACTGCTTCTGTCCAGGTAACCAGAAACATGAACTGAAGTAGACCTGCGACAAATACGCGGCTTCTCCAACCACACTACACATCCGATTCTATACCCGTCAGACCGTCAGATGGTTCTTCGAACGAGACGCAGAAGAAAATGTGAAGGTTCAAGTGATCTCGGGTGTTTCCCAAGTTTCAAGCTGGTGGGTGGTTTCAACTCACTGAAAAGTATTATATAGTCAGTGAGATCCATCATCCCAAGTCGAGGTTGAAAGCAAAAATATTTAAACCCATAGCCCAGCAAGGATGGCATGTATTGAAGCGTCATCCTGCAAGTGGCACCTTCCGTTGGGGATGCATTTTTGAAGATGTAAGGAGGCTGTGAGACACTTTTAAGTGGCCAAAAGGACGAAGCTTGTGCCGGTCTTGAGCGGCGACAGCAACAAAAACACCGTGGCTGCCACTCTGAGGTACACTCCTGAAAACTAACATGGACCCTGAGAATGGCACCCTGAAAGACTGTTTTCCTCTACAAACCAGAGGTTTTCAGGCTCTATGTATGTGAAACATACAGGACGATTCCACACGGTAAAGCAGGCATCTTTTTCCG